GTCATTGACATAATTAATAGATAGTTTAGCTTCTCACCATCATTTGCTGTGGCCAACTGATGTTAACGATCGTAACTGAAAGGCTGCCTGCCAAACGTAAACATTCAGCCACGTGACATTCAGCCAAACTCTCGCGATAGTCTTACACAAGACGGATCCTTTCTAGCCATAACCCTGGAAGTCAGGTGACAGTGAAAGGCGGGAACTCTGGGACTAACGCATTTAAACTGGGAGTGGCTGGATCTGAAATGCGAATCAGTGCCAGGCAATGATTCTCATTTCAGATTAACATCTAGTCTACGTTGTACCTGTTGTGACATACTGAAGTCATGTTTCACACAGTAAATATGCAAAACCTTGACACTTTTTCTTCTTCTACAAGAATGGAACAGATTAAGAGCTCTGTAGTGATGTTTATACAAGCAATCCCCCGGTTTCACCAATCCCCCCCTGCTCGAGGCAATGTACCATGAATTTGCCTGATTGTTGAAATTAAATAAAAATTCTAGGATTTTCAATTGAATTTAAAATCATATGAATTATACAAGATTTGCAAAACAATTGTCTTAGAAGTAAGTAAACTAGCAATATTTATCTATGTGGTAGATTAAGTAAGTAAACAATTTCTAGCTCCCATCCACTCATGTCATCGATGTCATTGTAGCTGCGTCAGAAACAACAATATTGAATTGATGTTGGCTCCTGATTAGGTGTGAGAAATGTTTTTCTTCAAAAATGATAACCTGAAAGACTGTTCAGCTTTGGGGTGAAATCACGCTATGTCAGCAATGCAGCACTGAGAATTGTATCTGACTGTGCAGGGACGCTGCCTCCATGAAACAAAAAACACTGTCTGAAATGTTGTTGTCCAGATTGTATATCAGAACTTTGTTATTATTACAAACTTGTATTATGTATCATGTCTACTGGTTATAATCTCTACCAATCTGATACGTGAAGCAATAGCAATTCTGGAAACAAGTTTGCAGGCAGACACAACACTTCACTTGAGTGTTATTCTGTCTGAACACATATACAGTTTACATTGTGCATTTTTCATTTCTTTCTAGTACAAATATTAACATTCATCCCCCCTGGCATTTCAAGTTTTTTTATTGATTACAAACAAATAAGAAAATATACATTTGTGTCAGCATGCCTATCTCTTACTGTCACACAATCAATTTAAAAGTTGGGTAGAAGATCTAAGCACAATGTTTTGAGTAACACAGCTGCCACACATGTTTCTTGGGCTCCATCAGTTCAGTCCATGATACCAATTTGAACTTTAGTGGTGATACAATTGTAACAAAATGGTTCTCTTTCCCTCTCCGCTAAATCTGTGAAGGTTTGTTCTTCAAGGTCTCTGCCTACAGTGGAAAAAATGTATATACAGTAAGCAATCTCACTTCACTTACACAAACACGGAATATAGAATTGGTGGCAGATAATGATTTGCTCACTATTAAAAGGGCAATATGAAATTGCTGAATAAATTATTTATGACATTTTGAAATTCAATTCCATAACTTAAAATGCAATGTATAACATATTACTATTGTTTGAAATAGTTGTATAATGTTTTTATTTCCCAATTCTGAGTAAGTTATTATAAATTAGACTGGGACTTTTGCTTCAGTATTTTCAGGAAATTATCTGGCATCTCTCGTTACAACAAGACTCCCTTATAAACTGCATGACTAATGGTTACCTAGCTTCATTAAAAGTTAAATGTAAAGCAAACATGATAACAAAAAAATAACTTTTTCAAACAACCTCATGTTGCCCTGATCTGTGATTTATTATGAACAACACACACAATGAAGAACTTGGAAAATCACAACATAGCCAGAGTTTCCATTAAATTGACTCTAAGGTCACAACATCCCCTATGTAGAAAGATGTGACTCAGACTGTGCAATCCTATGTTTTTCAAATCTTACACCACAACATGGAGAATTTCAATATATTGTACAATCCATTCACAAAAATACAGTAATGCTAAACGTAGCCTGTCGGTTTCCTCTTGAGCACTCTTTTGACCCAAGGAGCATTAGGGTCCAGACAAATCTGCTGCCCATCCTTTTTAAGAGTGGCACTGCAGAACATCAGACAAATCAATATATCTTGTAAGACTTTAAGAGATATTACAGACATAGGTATCAAACTTTTGCACAATGGCTTAATCTCTATATCTTCGCAGTGGGGGCCTGCAGGGTTCACCTCCACCCTTCCTATGTAACGTCCAATTGGCTTTTTCTCTTTGCTGATGCATCGACATGCTTAATCCCTCCCCAATCCCCCAGATTAATACCTGACGTTGGGAGAGGTGAGAGAAGCATAAACATTTCCGGACAGAAACAGATTAAAGTGTACTGCTGGTGGCTAAATGCAGATCACAAACAGGTACTTGTCATCGCAGAGTGCAACAAAAAATTCTTATTTGAACAGCAATTGAAAGAATTAAACTCACGAAGGAGTGCCACGATAGTTATAATATTCATATCTGCTCTGCTGTGTCTGAAATATGTGCCGAACAAACTAAACGCACTGCACTGGTTCAGTTTGCAAGTCGCTGGATCGGACTGTGGAGATTTCTTATGCGCAAGGCTGTTTATCTTTCCCATCTGTTCCTGATGTATTCAAGCATTTGTAAATACCCTGTTTTGATTAATAGAAAGCCTTGCAACATCACTGAGCAACTTCACCGTTGTTCTCATAAAAACAAATCATTAAAGCAGTGCTTCTCATAGTGTGGTCCGCGGACCACTGGTGGTCCGTGAGCGCCCCCTAGTGGTCCGTGAGTATATTGGTAACATTTCACATTTGAAAATAAATAAATAAATAAAAGTTTTCGCAATCTCGCGGAATATCCGCATCCCGCACATAAAACATAAGACCATACATTACAAACAATACAAGCGTAACAAATACATAACTGCAGTGCAACACCTTCATCACACATGTTCAGAGGCGCGGGAAGGTATTTTGAGTGGGGGTGCTGAGGTGCTGGACTCCAGTGAACACTATTACGGGCACTATAGAGCACGCACAAAAAAACTCCCCACACGCAAACACACAGTAAACCCGCGACTGTTACAATGAAGGCTCGATAATCAGCTCACGGCATATAGGTAGGGGTAAAGTGCTATTTTTGATGAGTGGGGAGCGGACCCTCTAGGGGATTCCGGGGGGATGGTCCCCCGGGAAGATTTTTTTTAAATATTGAAGTTAAAAGCATCAATCTGGTCCACTTTGAGAGCAACATTAAGAGATCTATGGATACATCTCTCAACACCCAGATGAAACACAACTGTAAGCAGATGTTCTTTTTCTTTATGGATATTTTACAAATCACTCCCCTTTCAAACTGTATTCTTGTTTTACTGCCATATAGTATTTCATAACTGTTTTTCCTTTATTCTCTTATTTTTTTTATAACTATAATGATCATATGAAGGTGTGCCGCGGAAATAATCTTTTGAATAATTTTTGACCAAACCGTTTGAGACCCACTGAGATAACTTAGACTAAAGTTAACTATCTAAACACTCAGAGAGTCCTTTAGCTCACCTGAGCCTCTCAGTCTGAGAGGAGAGCTCTCCTCCAGCTTGTTGTGGAACAAACAGCTCCGTATGTCCGTTAGTGCAGCTAGCTAACCAGATGCTAACAACACGGTCCCTGTTGCATTCACCGGTCCCTCTCTCTCCCCCTCTCTCACACACACTAAATGCGCTATTTCCGCACACACACAGAGCCGCGAGCTTGAATGACACAAGCACACTTTTATTTCCATGCAACTCTCTGATTGGTCTGGTGTCTTGCCTCTGTTGCATTCACTGAACACGGGAAATTACAGTCCTGCCGTCCTTTCTAGTGTCTTGATGAGGTTCACGTAAAGCACGGTTAATGTATTATATTATTGAGGTAGAATTGTCCGGGGCTCAGAAAAAACATTCGGGGCAGGCCAAAATATCATTTTACCAACAATGTGGAATTTATTGGCTCCATATTACACAGATTATGCACAGCGGGCGCAGCAATAACCGTCAAATAATAATTCAGACAGGGGAGCTCCGCACCCCCTGCCTGCCGCTAGGGGGTGCTGCAGCGCCCTCAGCACCCCCCTTCCAGCGCCCATGGCTCTATATAAAAGGTCTCCTGAGATAACCTCTGTTATGAATTGGGGATATAATAATAACATTAAAATTGATTATCACAAGTCCAGAGGTCTGCTAGTTCTGAGAAATGGTGAGGAACATTTCACAGTAAACAAAGATTAAATTANCCCATGACATCCTCTTAAGCCTTAAGCATGCATAAAGTATGTGAAAACATGACCCCAGATGAAAAGCACATTTTTCCCGGTCTGTCTTTGTTCCTCAGCTCTAAAGCTGAGGAACAAAGACAGACCGGGAAAAATGTGCTTTTCATCTGGGGTCATGTTTTCACATACTTTATGCATGCTTAAGGCTTAAGAGGATGTCATGGGAATGTACCTGCTTCTATCTTTCTCATACTGATATTCTGCACAAACTGTGCTGTTGTATTTGCTGTAAAGTGTCCTTACTTTAGGGTATTTTGTATTATATGTACAGCAATTTGGCTGGACCAAAAGTCGTTTAAAAATGTATAAATAAAACTTGATTTGATCACCATGACCTGTTCAAAATAAAAGGAGTTGGTGTATTTTAAAATAGTGTTGTCAAGAGTAAAGCCTGCACAATCCAAAAGTATTTGTTAAATATCTGCCTGAATTAGTGTCTTTACTTTTTACAATTTACATGTCGAGTTCTTTTTTGGGAAATATTTAATTTATATTTAATCAAATCATATTAAATAATCAATCAATTCACTGTTGACTCTTTGTTATTTTGCGAATAGGTTGTATTCAATAGAGACAAACAAGTTAGTTAATTAAAAAAAAAGATCAATATGAATGCCAGCATTTATAATTTCCCTTTGATAAACACATTTAAAAGTGGTACATGGAGTAGGTTTTAGTTTTTTCCCTATGATGTTAATTATAATAATTACAATGTTCAGTCTGTGTGCTGTAAAGAGAGTCATATCCTTTTAAATAATATGTGTGTAAATCTGAAATGTAAACACAAGCAAACAAACACACACCTACCTCTTAAATGGGATAGCATTCCTCAAGGCTTTCTCTACATCAGCTACAGTAGCCCTGGCGAGCTCAGCGACAGTACAGAGGCCTTGTGCGTACACTGCTCTGGCTCGTGTGGCGTTCAGGAGAGAAACCCTAACGAGGTCCACCAGCTCCCTCTGGACTCCGAAGCTGAGCCTGGTCTGGAACTGGGACAACAGCAGCTCCATGTTGTGCCAGCCCAGACGCTTGCAGAAAACTGTTACCATACCTGAAGGGATGGCAATGAGGCAGAGTGTTATAGTGTATGAGCATTTGATTTAGAGTCATTGAAATACTAATGCTTTGGGGTTCCTTAGAGTTTGCATTGATCATTGACAATATCTAATCACACCCAGACAAAGTTGTCACATGTCGCATTCAAGCATGCACCATCTATATCATTATAATGTTCAACAATAACGTGCAATTACGTATCTGCCACTACGTTTCTTTGCACTATTCAATACTGCTTGTCACTACAGTTTTTTCTATTGATTATTTGACCGTCTATGTTTCTTGTAGTTATTTAATTGCTCTTTTTACTGCACTGTTAGTGTAGAGTTGTATTATTATGCTGCTGTGTTTATTGTATCTTTGTAACTCTGGCACAACAATTTCCTTCGGGATAAATAAAGTCCTATCTTATCTTATCTGACTGTGTAATTCACTAGAATCTTCTAAACCCTGTCACAGTAACTTAATGCAAGAAGCATAGGCACTTTACATGGCTCTGAAGGAAGTATATAGGTGCCGAAACATCAGCTAATGGATTAAAGTCTATGCTGTATATATACGTCAGTCTAAAGTGCTCCTGCTTCTTGCATCAAGTTACTGCTCTCCCTTTAATGTAAAGTTGTGTGTGTAATGGTATATGCTACAGGGTAACATGTCCGGTGTTGGATTCCTTAGAGACGCTCAGCATTACTCTTGAGCATTTACCTGCATACGTAGAAGCAGACTGCTGAAGAGACTGTAACTGCCCCCGATTGCAGTTGTATTTGGAAGCCACCGTTCCCAAAGGCACCTCATTCACCAGATCATGTAGCACGATGGTGGTGAAAAATCTAAAAGGAGTTCAGTAACGTTTGAGTTCAAATACGGAAAACAATGTGACTTTTTCCTGTACCATGATAGAATTTATCTTACATAAGTGCATTACCGTTTATGTATGGCCATCTGTCTACGCTGCTTCTCTGTCTTGGCGACCAGTTTGCCTGTGACAGATCTTGCGAGGAAGCCTTCCTGGATGCCCACCAGCTCCGCTACTCTCTTCATCGATGACGAGAGCTGTTCCCACAGACAGAAGAACTGGTACCAATCTATGGTTGTCCACTCTGCGTACAACGGGGTGATCTGAGGGGAATTTGGACATAGAATTTGAAATACTGTGCATTTTAGGGTGGGATATTTTTGGTATGGTTTAGAGGTAGAAATAAGATTAGGTTACTATTAGGAATGTATGGCTACACCATACATTTAGGGATAAATAAAGTTGACAAAGTTTTAAGCAAATAATAAAACAATATATGTGCATGTGTACCAGATACAGAATGTGCAAGTCATTTTCCAGTACGAAGCCCTTCATAGCCCGCTGGAGATCTGCAAATATTCCCAGAGCCTCAGGAGGGGAGAGGGAGGAGGAGAGGGTGGCAGCACCTAGTTGGGTCGGACAGTACCGCTCCTCTGGGTACGGCAAAGACATTGGGATAGACATAGTATATATTTATTTTAAAAGGTGGTTAAGCTTATACTCTGGTTTTACACTTCGTGCACATATTCCAATCTGAAAAATGAAGGACACTTGTGTAACAGTGGTTCAATTTGTTGCTAAAAGTCTACTTTAAATTGTGTGTACAGATATCCAATACCTTGTCCTTCCTTCTGGATGCTGATAAATTCGTTCTCCATCAGCCATTCTACAGAGGCCTCAATAGCGCCTTTGTTGGTGTCTTCAGTTGATTCTTTTTTGCCATCACATTTTATGCTGGCAGCCAGAAGTGAGCACAAAGCATATGACCTCACATCCTGTGGCGTGCTGGCTACACCTCCGACAATGATCTGCAAGTTGGGTTGATTCAATAAATGTTACATTAATAGAGGTAAACTAAATGTACCTTATATTAACGGTCTCCATAGGATGAGAACAGTTTTATTTAAGAAGTATTTGTTTTGATCTAAATACGACATATAAATCATTTCATAGGGTGCCAAGTCGATTTAGATGTCAGCCCTACCTCCAGGATGGCTCTCAGCATGCTGGTGGTGACGCCCTCTCCCTCTCTTCTCACCAGGCAGCTGCTGATTGGCTGAAGAGTACCCGTAAGGAGAGTAATTCCTTTCTGACGCTCTATCTCCTTACACACCAGCACACTCTCACCTGAAAGAAGACGAATAAAATGATGTGAGGTCAAAAGACAGATCTATTTTAATTCACTTTTCTACTTATATGAGGCCAAATACTATGACTGAATGTTGTTGTCTCATTTTGTTTCTCTTTGTCCCTTTTTTCCTCTTTACCTATAGTGTCTACTCCTTTTCTCCCTGCTCGTCCGGCCATCTGTTTGTACGTGAGCGGGTCCAACATGTGTCCGTTGAAGGTAGGGGATCGAATGATGACCCTGCGAGCGGGGAGATTAACCCCAGACGAGAGGGTAGAGGTGGCAGCGAGGACTCTGACCGTGCACTGACGAAAAGCTCCCTCCAACACATCGCGCTCATCAAAAGTCAAACCTAAAGAGACAGACTTGAACTTAGTCAGATACACAGAAACATAGCCATTTATTTAGAAGTTTGTTGTGGTTGGTAAGAAATTCTTACCAGCGTGGTGGAAGGCCACCCCCCATGGCACAGTTCTCTGGAGGATGGGGTCCAAACCAGCTGGAGTTCTTCTCAACTGGGCCACAACATCCACTAATCCATCCCGATCCAGACGCACTGCCTGAGGCTCTGCTTCGCCCTGACCACCTGAAAGGATGAGACCAGAAACAAGACTTCATTCACAAACAATATTTAGAACTCGACCTCAATTTTAAAAGGTCCCCTATTATACTGTTTTTCATCAATATATCATAGGTCTCAGATACATTCAAAACATGTCTCTGAAGTGTTTTGCTCGAAATACCAAACAGATCATGCATTGTAGCATCCCATAAACCCCTCTGTTCAGCCCTGTTTCAAAAGTGCTGATTCTCTGTCTGATACTTTAGATCAGGGGTCTCCAACACGTCGATCGCTCGCGGGCAGCTTTTCAGTGACTGTGTAGAAAGAATCCAACGACAATAAATGCACCTGAATCAGTCCGTGTCGCTGCGGCTCAGACACACATGGATTTTTTTTTTTAAATACTCGCGTTAGCACCATGTCAGGTTTTTGGTGGATTTAATCAAGTCTTGGATTGCAGAGTATGAATGTCCTCTTGCTATTTTCAGTTGATAAATACTTGTGTAAAGTTTGTAAAGGCAGGAGGAAAGCTTCCTCGATCACCGTCTCCTCTGTTCCTCCAAACCCCGCCCCCTCCCTAAAAATAATGAGTGACAGGCTGATAGTAACCTGATAGAAACTTTATTATTCACTTAATCACTGATTGAGATATGATGAAGCTATCTGAATCTCATACATTCATGGGATTTATGTAACAGTAAGACAGAGAATGTAAGATGGAGGTTATACATTTCCAAAATCATGTTCAGCTTAAGTCTCGGCAAAACTCACAACATTTCTGGAGCCTTGTAGACCCAGAAAACTATAAGAACATCACCAAGCAGCACTGAACATGTCTGCTTTATTTGGCTCTACATACCTTTGTGAAATAGCTTTTTCTGACATGAATGAAATCTAAATACAGAACAAGACTGACTGATGAACATTTAAATGACTATTAGAGTGTACCTAAGTGGGTACACTCCAGCATACACCTCTATGGTGGACTCCATGCAGCGCCATTCATCTCACTAACTGTAAAAAAGAGGGAATGCACTTATTTTACACATGTGCCATAAGATAATGGTAAGGTGGTGATTAAGGTGATGTATTTACTATATGGGCCATAATAAGAAGTGAAAACATTTTATTTTTCTCTTGGACATTTATGTGAACTTAAGATTTTTGATAAGCTTTGGGTATTACAATTTCACACGTGTACAAAAGTAGCTTAATTCAACCGATGAGTGCTATGTGACTACATGTAAGCGATGTGATGCAAGTAGCTCTTGGCGACTTT